GATCAATTTTACCTATTTTTTGCTGCTACTAGTATTCTACAAAAGTTGTAACAATCTCACTTAGCAATCGTTTTTCTCGCTACTAGGCCATAGTTGACAAAGTATGAATCATTAGATATAAAGAGCCTATCTCAAGTTCTTTTCAAGGCTTTCATCTTGAATTCTAGTACAGGTACAACCTATGATCAGGCAAGGCAATTAGAAACCCCAAGCTCAATACTGGGAAGCTCAACTCCTAGAGTCATAGGAAACCATCTAAAACTCCTCCCACCCACTCTCTCCCCTACAACAGAGTCTCCAATGGTACATGTCTATTTGTTCTCAACTTCTGCTCATTCAGCACATTTATTGAATGCCTCAATATCCTGGACTTCAAAGAGCTCACAGACAAGAAAAATATGTGTGTAATTATCAAGTAATGGGAATGATATTTTTAAAACCAGAAATTATGCATTCAAATGGGACTTGAGTCCCCCTGACAGGCAATGAGCTAATTCCACTTCAGTGCTCAAACCACCTTTGGAGCTTTCCTCCTGGCATCGTCTTGAGAGCCTACAGTCTGTCCTTCTGAATATCCTCAATGGTGCCAACTCTTCACTGAGAGTGAATTCGATTTTTGGAAATGGCCAAAAGTCAGTCAGAGCCAAGTTTAGTGAGTAAGATGTATGATCAAACTAGGTGGCACTATTTTGGTTCAAAAATGATCCATGATTATAAAGCAATGAGATGGATTTCCTTATATGATTTATAATCTGACTCCAAAGGAAATTTCAGATGAGTAACAAGGAATATGAGCAGTGGAATAGGTATATACATATTCCTCTTTTTCCTAAGTAACTTCTTTGAGGGATAACACTCATTTGGATGTGTAAGCTCAGATATAAGGTTTGCTTTGCGTAATCACAACTCATAAATAGAAGGCTCCTTGGGCTATTGGACCCATTGTGGCATGGGCGGGCCTGTCACTAAATTAGAGAGGTAGCATGGCACGCAGGAACGAGCGCAGGCTTCAGAAGCAGACCGACTGACTCACTTTAGAATCCTGACCTGGCCCTTTGCTGCCTGTGCAACTCAAGGGAAGTCACAAGCTTGCTAAGACTGTGAAACAGGGCTGATCATCTAACTTGCAGGGTTGTTGGAAAGATCTGATAAACGCTGAAAGCACTGACACTGTGCCCAACCCGTGCTAGGTGCCCCATAAGTCATACCTATTCTTAATAACAACCTCAATATAATTGAGAGGTTTTTCTTACTCTGGGTGGCTTAAGATGACAGAACAACAGATAAACAGACATTTGGGTGGTGGGTGAGTAGTTCACGAACAGTATCAACATACGCTCACTACTAATGGATCTGGAGTGGCTTTAAAAAAACCCCAGTAATATGTAAATGATATCTGCAGTAATCATTCACGCTACAGGTCCTATTTTTAAATCATATGACATGTGCCACCTGCAGCGCTGCCACCACACTGACCTTTCACCACTGTCTGAGCATACCAGGCCCTCTCACGAACCCTGGGCCTCTGCACCCTCCGTCCCTCCTAACTTGCCTTTCCTGCCCTCTGGTCTGAAAAAACCCTACAATTATATCCCTCCAGATGGAGCTGCGGAACCTTCCCTGACTGCTCTGACAGAATTGGTGGCTCTGCCCCGGCGTGCTCCCACAGCACTGGGTTCCTGTCTCTGCAATGTCTCTTCCTGTGTTGAATTCTGATTTCTCTTCCCATTTCTGCTTCTCCTGCCAGGCTTGAGCACGGAGAGGAATTATATCTCACTTATTTTTGTACTTAAAGCACCTAGCACGTCTCTTGGCACACAGTAGGAACTCGGGAGATGTTTGATGAATGAATGCTTTAAATATAAATATTTTACAAATGACTGGTAAAGGCCAGGCAGCTGTCCTTTGTTAAGGATTACCAGAAATCACATCCATGTTTCCTAAATTCAAAGAAGAGACAACTTACATAGAATGCTTTTAGAAGTTGCAGCATATGGAACTTTCTAAACACTACTGACCTCCTCAGTACTCCATGCTCACAGGACAGAACATGCAGAGCAGCAGCCCTCAGCCTTCGTCCCAGTCCAGCGCACCTGTGGGATGCACCTCACTGTCAGGAGCTCACTGCAGATGACTCAGAGAGCCTAGCAGAGTTCTCACAGCCTTCCAGCACTGCCTGGCCACCAGGGCTGAAGGGCCTTCTCCAAGCCAGCAACTCCAGCAAGCTAGCAGAAAATCCCAAGGCTCCATGGTGTGGCCACGGTGCTGGCTTAATGCCACCTACTCCCAAATCCCCACCTCCTACAAGCACCTCAGAATCGGTCCGCCAATTCTGGATACTGCTGGTAGTTGCCTGTTCAATGAGTAAGGCTCCCTGGCTGTTATGTTAGGAAGCCTCAGGCATTCAGACAAGGACTCGGTGGGTCCAACATGCCTGTTTCAGCGAGTCTTAACCTGTGTAACTAAAAAGAAGCTCACGATCAACCAGTTCTCTGCCAGAGGGAAATAGGCAGAGGGTCAGCCGGCAGCCCTGTGCACCTGAGCGCTGACGTTTGTGAATCATTCTCTGCTACTGCAGTTTTCCAGAGCCTGGGCAATACAACAGTGGGTTCAGACTCACCAAGATCAAAAGGTTGGAAAGGAGAGCTGGAGCCATGGCCCATGCCTTGGGAACCATAAAACCATGATAGTGACTATTTTTGTGACACACATAATCCACAAAGTAAAGGCAGCCACATTCTGCCTTAATGTCATGGTCTTTCCTGTCTCTCTAATGGAATGGCTGGATTCTGAAGGAGGGAAGATGAGAAGAAAGAGGACCAGGCCATAGACCACCACCAGGAAAGCAGTGATTGGAAGAAGCCATTTTAGATTTCTCCTAGAGGCTCTGGAGAGTCATTCATTCATTCATCCATCCATTCATTCCACAGATATTTAATAAGTCAGGTACTATTGCAGGCATACAGGATACCATAATGGGCAGAATCATGGCCCTGGCCCCATGGAGCTTATAGTTTAGTAGGGGAGACAGGCATTAATCAAATAAGCATACAAATATAAGGGTACAAATAAGTGCTATGATGGAAGAATTCAGCATGCTACAGATACTGTATAAACAGGTATCAGTGGACTTAGGCAAGTCAGAAAGCCTTCTCTCAGCAAGGAACAAGCGACCTGAGATCTCAAAGATAAATAAGAGTTAACTAGGTCAGGAGGAGAGGAAAGGGAAACATTCCTGACAACGAGAACAGCATGTGCCAAGGTCCTGGGGTAGGAGGGAGATGTTGAACTGGCTCCAAATTAGAGGCAGGGATAAAGGCAGCAGCACCAAGGTTAGAGGCCCTGGCACAAGGTATCTTCCTGTCTACACCCCCTGGTTTGCACTGCAGCTGTCTAGAAGGCCCTCCTCAGCATGGAACAAGACTAAAGAACAATGTCAAAAACTAGGTGTGCCCATGAGACATGACACATCATTAGCTAAAAAATCAGACTTGCCAATATTACCTGACCACTGTCTTAGCAGTCACCACTGTGAGGCAACACTGCTCACTCCCACTGAAGCAACACTGTATTAGGAAATTGGCGCCCTATAAAAGGTCTTTAAACTTAGAGATGCATTTCAATCCCAGTAGAATTAAAGTGTAAATCTGTTTAGATACCTAATATTTCATTGTAATTTTCATATACCAAATTTTGGGGGGTGGGGGAGAAGCTACAGGAAAAGAAAATGGTTAAGGATGTTCTGTGCAGCACTATTGTGCTTTGGCAACTGTTAGCCAGTTAGAACACCTGAGGCAGTTCTTGGGTTCTGAATTATCTGTCACCTTGCAAAACAGTCCTGGAACTATCTATGTGTAAAGCACTTTGCAATCAATCATTAATTTGGCTTCCCATCCTGCTGAGATTATACTCATTCTACAGATAAAACAGGTAAGCGACTGGCTCAAGGATACAAAACAATTCAGGTTTTACTCATCTTTCTTACCACCCTCGCCAGTGCAGACACACAAGGCCCTTCCAACTCCAGCGCCAATCCTGCTACCCTGTAGAGCAATCCTCACCCCTAGGAGCAGCAGAGGAAGGTGCTGCAGTCCCTTCTCCCTTACCTCCTCTCAACATGCTCCTCGATGCAGAATGCCTTCAAGGCCAACAACGATAATGACTGCACTGTGATTGGGACATTAGCACTCCAGACTAGAATATGAACTCAGCAGTGCTCAAAGAGGAGTAGAGCACCTAGGAAGCCACAATGACTTGTAGCTTAAAATGGCACTGTCCCCAGGGAGACTGCACTCCCAATACTCTCTCTCTCTCCATCTCTCCCAAGACTTCCCTTCATCCCCCACAAGCAGCCCAGGCAGTGGTCTCCACTGGGCTCCCACACTACAACACCACACAGTGCTGTAAATCATCTATTTACTTGTCTTTCTCCGTCCACAAGCTGGAACCTCCCAGCATCTGAAGCACCTCGCATAGGACCTAGCATACAAAAGGTTGACTGAGGGCACAGCTTCCCACCAGCAACTACGGGAAACAGGTACTCCCTTCACAAACTAGTGGACTTAGAAGATCAGTTAGGCCAACTCCTTATTTTTCAGATGAGCAGAGAGTATGTAACTCAGTCACGTGGGGCCTGGTCCCCAATCCAGATCTTTTGGCTCAGTTTAGTTCCACAAACATTTTATAAGGGCCTGCTCTGTTTCAAATGCCGTGGGAGGTGCTGGGGATAGTGAGATGTGCATGAGACAGTCTCTGCTTCAGGGAGCACACAGCCTGGGGGGGGGAACAGAGTTACAGAACACTTGGGCAAGTGCAAGGACAGGCGCTCCATTCCTTAATCAGTGTTCTCTCCACACTGTCCACTGGATATTCCCCAGCTGGGAAATAGGACAATACTATCTACTTCCTGCAAATAAACTTACAGTGAAGACTGATGAGAAACCGCGTATGGAAAATCGTCAGGTTCACCCCCAGAGGCATTATGTAAGGTATTGCCATACCCTGACACTGACTCCGAGGATTCAACGTCGTGTCAGGTATCACTCGACAAAGCAGCAAACAAGCGAGGGGTGGGCATACATCCAAGGAAAACCTCAAGGGCTCAGAGGAACTGGAGGAAACAGCTGGGGGGGGCGGGTAGGGGTGTTGGGTCAAGCGAGACGGCCCCGGTGCGGGGAACGGAGGGCAGGCAGCGGGGTGCGGGAAGAGGGGACGGGAAGGGGGCGTTGGGCCAGCAGCGGGGGGGGGGGGCTGGCCGAGAGGAACGCGGTTCCCGCGGGGCCGAGGTCGGGGGGGGGGGCGCTGAAGGCACCCGGCGCGGGAGCGGGAAGCACTGCCCAGCGAGCCGCTCGCACCGCGGGGAGCTGCCCCGCCGCCCGCCGCAGCCTCACGCCCGCCGCGCCTCCCCCGGCGGCGCCTCACCTCGGGTTGAAGTCCTGGAAGAGGCCCCTCAGGTTCATGGCGGAGAACTTCGCCGCGGCGGCCTCCTCCTCCCCCCTCCCCCCGCGCCGCGCTGCCTGCGCGTTACAGCGGGTTCATGGTGCCGGCGCGAGCCGCGTCCCCGCCCCCGCCGCCGCCGCCCCCGCCCCCGCCGCCGCCGCCGCCGCCGCCGCCGCCGCCGCCGCCGCCGCCGCCGCCCGGAGAAACCTGAGCCACCGCCTCCCGCCCCTCCTTCCGGGCTTCCGTACGGCAGCGGCGCATGCGCCCCAGCCCCGCCCCGCCGGCCCGGGAAGCGCCGCGAGCCGCGTGCGACACCGCCTTCCTGGCTGGGGGCGCCCGGAGGCCGCGGCCCTGGGGACGGCGGGGAGTGCCTGGAGGCTGGGAGAGACGGGGAGCCTGGGGGAGGCGGCGGAGAGCCGAGCGGGGAAGCCCACTCGGCGCAGGCCTGCGGGAAGGGAGCGCGCCACCCAGGAATCCCACGGGGAGGTCTTCGCAGACACCTGTCACCTTAGCCCGCGCTGCCTTCGGGAAGTTTCCCCTGAGCCTGGGCGGGAAGGAGGATAGTGGCCACGGTGACTCGTTGCATTTTGGCGTTCTCATCCCAGGCTTCACCTGTTACATCTGTCGGTGACTCCCAAGTCTGCATCTCAATTTCCCTCCCAAGGCCCAGGCCAGCATATGGATACATGCTGGCGGTCCCACACTCAGGTTACCCTGCGCCACAGTCATCTTTCCTCCTAACCGCCTTCCCCTCCTGGGTTGCTCTCTCCGTTGGCAGCAGACCTATTTATGGGCGCATGCCAAACTGGAAATCTGGTAGTCATCCTCCCATTTGCTAACCTAGTTCAGAGATTCCTTGGCCCCTGCTTAGACTTTGGGGTCACTTCTCACCTGGCCTCATCCTCCACTCCAGACCATCCTATTTATAACTGCTAGGTTCATCTCCCTTGGACAAGTCAACATCTTTGGCCTCAATTTTTCTCCTCTGCAAAATGGAGATGATAAAACCGACTTCCTAAACTTGGATAAGATAGTGTGCATAACACTGTTTGGTTCACACCAAGTGCTCAGAGAATGCTCTTGCTCTCTGGTGCTCTTTCCGGTTTCTACCTCCTTAAAAGTCTATCTACTTTTGGAATTAGCTGTATAAGTTCACAGCAGGTGACCTAGCCTACCTTCTTCACTTCCGGCTTATTTAAGACTTTTCCATGAGCACAGCAATACCTTAGACATTAGTCTAGTATCATTATGGATAATAGTTGTACTTTGTTACAATAACAGAGTTTCATGAATGGCAGTTTTTATATGAGTTAGCCCTGGGGGCAGCTTGAGAAGATCACAATTATGATAGTCATACCTTGCCGTGATATATCACCTTTCTTCTGAGAAATTGAAAACATTTCACAAGTGGTAATTAGGCTTCCCAAACCCACTGGAGAATGGATATTATTATAGGAGCTGCTTTTAAGGATGAGTAACCTGAATCAGGTTTGTCAGCCACTGAAGCACCAGAACCCAGTCCCAGAGTTTTTGGTCCAGTTCCCTTGCCCATCCTCTGGGTAGAGTCCAGTGTCTACCCCTGAGGAGGTTCCCAATGAACATTTAAATACAGAAGAGAAAGCTGAGACAAAGAGAATCTTGTCTGATGTGCCCTGAGCTATCCAGCTAATAGAGGGACAGGAGAAAGAGGCAACTAGGGGTCCTGCTGAAACTGCAGCCTGCGCTCTGTGAAGAAGAGGTACTTGCCGGTGGCCAGATTGGCCAGCACCATCTTAATTACTGGTGACCTCCCCATTAACAGGCATTAAGACTGAGATGGTTTGTCAGTTAAGATATTTCAACAACAGGTACTGTTGCTCTTTCAAAAACTTAACCGACCGAGACCAGGCAGAGTCTGCTCAGAGTCCAAAGTCTTGATGGCAGGCACTAGTTTGGTGAGGTCCCAGGGAGTCCCAGCTGACCCACTGCTCTGCCGCTCACAGTCCCCCAGACATGCCCAGGTTGTGAGGGCTGCCCAGCCCAGGGAACAGAACACTAATACACAAACCAGTTGTCAATGTAGTCTTTTGCTCTGACAAGCCAAATTGCCAAGGGGAGCTTATAAGCCCATGGGAATATAAGAGAAGAACTGGACTACCGCAAGGCCTCATATCACCAATCTTCATGAAGTGGATGTATCTGGACTGCTGCAGCTTCACTGGAGGCCCAGCCCTGTACTCTACTGGTGCTCTCATGGAAATAAAAATCAGAACATCCAGGGGCACCTGCTTTCGGCTCAGGTCATGGATCCTGGAATTGAGTCCCACGTTGGGCTCCCTGCTCAGTGGGGAGCCTGCTTCTCCCTCTCCCTCTGCCTGCTGCTCCCCCTGCTTGTGCTCGCTCTCTCTCTGTGTCAAATAAATAAATAAATTCTTTAAAAAACATCAGAATATCCAGGTGTCCCTCTTGTCCTCTCTCCAGCAAGTGCAAAAGACCCTGCTGCCCATCTGCTGCCAATCTCAGATCCCTCATTCAGTGTCCCACCCCGAGCAAAGGCCCAAAGCTGCACTGCCTTGCGTGTACAGACCCATGAGTGACCCACTGAGGAAAGACTCTGGGCCATACACAGGTTGATGCCCTCGTCATCTTCCATAGCAAACTTTGACTTGTCACCAAATTTCAGGGCCATCTTACTACAGACTCTCAACATTCCTTATACAAAGGCATGAAATGGCTCGGGATTGAAAAAGCATGACCCCAAACAAGCCAGAAAGCATACCCATGTGGCTTTGGAGTGGGTACATGTTACAGTGTCCCAGAAGCATCAGTGTATTTCTGGACCATGATTTTGAAGACTACCTTGGATTTGTAATACCCTTCTGATAAGTTGGTGGCTTGTCCAATTCAACATTCACATTGGCTCCAATGTGATGGGGTGGAGGGCAGGCTTCTGAAGAGCAGGGATGTGAAGGAGAGAATCCTGGTACATTCAGACACTTTGGTCATGGAAGACCTGGGTTAGGGGAAAGAAGTGGCTGTGGCCCAACTCTCACACCACTGGGGCTCCTCCCCTGGGCTGCAGCAGGGTGGGGAGAGCACGGAATTAGAAGACTCAGACCAGCTTCACCATTGCTCCAGTGGAAGGAGGGACAGCTGGGATCCAATCCGGGGCAAAAGCCAGCAGGCCTACTAAACTTCCTGGGGGACCAGCTTGGCAACTTCTTCAGCCAGGAGACTCAAGGTGCTGGCTGAAGTCTGACCCTCTCTCATCCCGAAATTCTCCACTCTAAGTTCCCCGAAGTCCATACCCTGAATTCTACTAATTAGAAATCACTGGGGACTCCACTTGCAAAATGCACCCCTTGCTTCCTGAGAGGGCCCTTTGTTTCTGGTTACTTTAAGTTGCCTGGGTAAGTGTGTAGTCTTTCTGTTCCTGAGATCTCCCTGGGAGATGGTTGGAGTCTAGACATAGCTGGATCTGGGGGCTTGAGGAACTTGGGGTGGAGGCTGAGAGCAATGGAAGAGACCAAGAAGGTAATATGTACAGTTCTGCTTGGATTTGCAACTTCCCCTGGTCTTCTTCAAGAGCCCCCAAAAGAGCCCCTCTTCATCATGGAGGTGTCCCTGAGGACAAGTGGGTCAGCATCCTTTCTGGAGCAAGCTTCCCAGCAAAGGGAGCAGGGACTATTTCCTGTTGGGAAGTAGAGTGGGCAGGCTGTGTTTGGGCCCACAGAGCCACCATGGTGTCCCTGTGTTATCCCCCCTTGACCTCTTCTGTCACCAGGGGCTCCAGGAAGGCTTCCCAGGTGGGGAGGAGGCTCCTGGGACCCCCTCCTCCAGTGAGATGTGCCTGGCAAGCCCAGGTCAAGTACACGTGGCCAGGCCTCTTGGGCAGACAGGAAGAAACGTGCCTGTGAGAGGTCACCAACCAGCTGCCCACACAATTCCCTTCTCTCCTCAGCCCTGTCCTATTCTCATTCCTGTGTCTCCACTCACTGCTTGGCTTTTGTCCTTTGTGCTTCCACATTGGCTTTCTGTTCACTTTTCTCTGGGACCCTCTGCCCTTACTAACAAGATGCCCCCTTCTTCCCCATGTCTTCTGATGCGCCCTTTTGGCTGGAGCAGCCTGCAACCTTCTTTGCTCCTCTGTCACCCTCAGCTAATGTCTTTTCTGAAGCGTCCACTTTGTGTCAGGTGTTGTGGGAAGCACTGCTAACACATAGTGTTGTATGTGATAAGCTTCCAGGACAGGAGAACCGCTGAGCTGAACCTGAAAGGACACAGAAGATTTCCAGCCAGGAAGAGAAGAAAGGGGATTGCAGGCAGAAGTGCCTTCTTGCAAAGGCACAGTCAGCCGTGGAGGCAGGTGGACCCTTCAGGAGAAAAATGTCCTCTATGTTCATTCTCTGTGGAGTCCCTGGAACACCCTCCCTTCAGGTAGGCCTCTAGTCTGGGCTCTGAGAGCTCATCGCAAAAATGTTTTCCCCAGACTGACCCCTCGACCAGAACAGGACTCAATAGAGGCCGTGCTAGCTTCTGTGTGTAAACACAGCATATGGAACCAGGCAATGTGAAACATCTCAGTGAAGTTGTTCCATACACTTCTAATACAAGTAGATTGCTTTGTCTCAGTCTCCAGTCTAGCCTGGGATCCTGTGGCCTCCTAAAATGATTGTTTTCTCTGGCTCGATGTACAGCACACTCCCCTGCCCTGGCCTACTTGTAACCCTAGGCTTATGGGCAGTGGGGACTCAGCTCAGGAAGCCAGCTCAGGGAGTGCTCATGAAATGAATGCAGGAGTCAGGCCATCCCAAAATCCCTTCAAACAAGCAGGCCTCCTTCCCCATACCTCATACTGGGCCCCCAACATCTTCCAGAACAATGATCTGTTATTCCTCAATTAGTAGTAGCTGCAGGCATGATCTATGGACTCCCACTCTCCCTTTTTCCTACCACATTCTCCAGGTCATTGAGATGCTGAGGGTTTTTGAGTCTTGTTATAGAATAAGTTATACCATGTTTGCACATGGCCATCCATTTGAGATGGGCCATCCATTTAATAACTGATTGGCAAAGGAAAAAACACTGTATCAATTAATTTACATGTGGACTGTAAGACATAAACTGATTCAACAACATTAA